AATTGAGATAAATGGCTTGTATTCCCACTTCCATTCTTAAATTATTATTTAATTTATATAAGTAAGGCTTCAATAAGGACTTTCACAATAAACTCATATTTGTTAAAGCAGACCAATTATTAAATGTTTTTACTATTGTTAAATAAATGATCAAATCTTAATTTATCTAAGAAAAGTATTCAGGTAAATCCAAAAAATCATAAGGTGATAAAGTGAAGTATTATACCAATATATATTCACGGAAATAAGTGTTACATAAGATATTTCAAGGACCAGAGTTGATTACGTTGGGTCCTGGTGAAAATAGTCATTCATATCAAAGATTTTAAATCGAGGCAATGGATTTCTTTCAGTCACTGCTAAAGAAAATAGCTTGTCCAAAAACTGCCAGAGTCTTGGTTGTAATTTCACTAACTCAGAAATGTCACAAGCAAATCTTATTAACTACTCTCAATAAATGTGTTATCTAATATGATTAAACTATAAGAATTCCTGTTCCCCCAAACCAGTACTAAAGAATACCCCAATAAATTTAGTAGATTTCTGAATATCATCTCATTCTTTTAACTGTCATTTTGAATTCTATGTTAAAAATTCAAAGAAGGTATAGATTATGATTCTCACAAATTACTTCACTTATATATTCCATTATATTTTGCTTTGATTTTAAAAATCCTGTGATCAGGGTGTCTGGGTGGCTCAGTCGGTTAAGCGTCTGCCTTCGGCTCAGGTCATGATCCCAGAGTCCTGAGATCGAGCCCTGGTTTGGGCTCCTTGCTCAGCGGGGAGACTGCTTCTCCCTCTCCTTCTGCTTGCTGCTCCCCCTGTTTGTGCATGCGCACTCTCTCTCTCAAGTGAATAAATAAAATCTTTTAAAAATAAATAATTAAAAATAAATAAATAAATATCCTGTGGTTATTACATACCATTGTAGATAATATTACAGTCATAAAAATCATGAATCCAGCCATCTTTCTACAATCAAGAAGGCTGATTCTGGTTAGAACAAGGAAGTGAGCTGATTTCCCACATTATACATGGCCAAATTTAAAAAAAACAAAACTGAAACAACTATTAGCAGAATATCTTTAAATTGGAAATGCAGAGATATGGAACTTTTTGGGCTTTAAATTTGAAAGAGAAATCAGCGGTCCCCTAGGTTAGTCTTTTATACAACGCAGGACTCCTTTCTTTAATAATAGAGGCTAGGTTACAGGGTGGTGGCCTAAGGACAATCTGCAGCCCATAAATATAGTCTACATGACCTCCACAGCTTTTGTTTTGTTTTGTTTTAATTAAGCCAATGCACAAAAATCCAGATCTGTGCCTCATCTTTAAAATCCACATGGAGCTGCATGTCTGCTGCCCTATTGGATGAGTCGTGCTTTCTCTACTTCTCCACTGCACTTCCCATCATTCCACTTCACTCACTCATCATCTGCCTTGCGTTTTAAGCATCCAAGCATTTCAGTAAATGACCACTCACTGTATTCACTCTGTTGATGAACATCATCATGAAAGGGGAGGCAGCATACAACTTTGCAAAGTGACCAACTTCACTGTAGGCATCACTAAACATTAGAGAGAATTATCTAGAATAATTTCCAAACACAAACTGGTTTTATCCTCAAAAACAAAGTAAACTTATTATTCTCTCTTCCACAGAACAGGCTTCTAGGTATCTGAAGACAACCAGCTTTCCTAGGTCTTCACTTCCAGTTTAACATCTCCAGAGCCCCCAAATATTCTTCATAGCAATGTATGCAAGCCTACCTATGGCCCCTGGGATGCTTCTCATCATGAATGAATTCTACTTATGATAAATATTCTATTTATTATGATTTTCCAACTCTTACTTGTGTGTTTATTATATATTCTAGTTATCAGTGTTCTTCACATGTAATATTGTAATATTTCCTTGATCTAGATCAATGGTTCTCAAACTTTTTGGCCTCAGGACCCGTTTTCACATTTAAAATTCATTGAAGATCCCAATGAGCTTCTGTTTAATAGAGTTTATCTATTGACATTCACTGTTATTAGCAGTTAAAACTAAAATTTATAAAATTTATAAAATTTATAAAATTTATAAAAATTTAACATGTGTTCATTTAAAACACATGTTAACATAATGGCATACTTCTATGAAATAGTTCTTTGAAAAATAAACACATTTTCCAAAACAGCATTGTCTCCCTCCTTGCATCTAAATACAGAACTTAGGGGCGCCTGGTGGCTCAGTCATTAAGCGTCTGCCTTCGGCTCAGGTCATGATCCCAGGGTCCTGGGATCGAGCCCCGCATCGGGCTCCCTGCTTGGCGGGAAGCCTGCTTCTCCCTCTCCCACTCCCCCTGCTTGTGTTCCTGCTCTCACTATCTCTCTCTCTCTGTCAAATAAATAAATAAAATCTTAAAAAAAAAGAGAGCCTGCCTCTCCATTTAAATAAATAAATGAATAAATACATACATACATACATACAGAACTTAAATATATATTTTCCTATAGATCCCGTTTTGTTGGTTTCACATTATTCTTTGGTAGTGGACACTGTTGATGCCCATTCTAGCTCCCCTTCAGACCAGTGCACCCACCTCCACTTAGCTGTTTTGACTGTTAGCTGATAACAACACACAGAAGAATTACTCAGTAACACTGGAGCCACCTGGCTTGGGAAATTATGTGCACCTCCACTTCATCCAATGACTGAATGATAAGCCAGTAACTATCACAGAGTACAAAAGACCCATCCCAATGACACAAAGTGGAACTAATTCTGGGTGTAGTTTGTGCTCCAGAGCTTCCCATGGGATCAGACCCAAGTTCGTTTCTAGCGGAGACCACGTTCTTCCTTAGCTTTTATCCCTTGTCTTATTCTGCTTGTCACTCTCTTTCTTCTAAGAGCTCATCCATAACAAATCACTTGAACAGGCAACTCCATTTCAGGCTCTGCTTCTGGCAAACCCAACCTGAGACATCTTTCATCCCACCAAGATTATTGTAATATCGACTCTGTCATATATCATATTAACTAACTATCTCAGCTGTGCAGCATCTCAAATATGCTAAGCATTCTATCATAGAGCAATGCAGTGGTTCTCAAAATGTGATCCCTGGACCAGCAGAAGCAGTAGTGTTCGGGAACTTGTTAGAACTGCAAACTCTGAGGCCCTATTCCAGACCTACTGAATCAAAAATGCCATCATAGAGATGTGCCATAATTAACCAATCCATTATTGTATACATTTCAGTAGTTCCCATTTCTTCCTAGTATAAATAATGTTGAGATGAATGCAGGTAAATCTCTGTGTACATTTCTAATTATTCTATGAGTATTTGTCTGCAATCTACTTCGAGGTAAAAGTATTAAATCAAAAAACAAGATGTACTGATAGATGAAGGACAGACATATAATAAAGCAAACACAGCAAATGTTAATGATAGAATCTAGGTGATGAGTATATGGATATTGACTTCAAAATTTTTGCAACTTTTTCATGTTTGAAATTTTTTAGAAAATGTTTAAAACGAAAAATGTTGAAGAGATTTCTATTTTATGAGGTTAATTCCTAGAACTGGAATAAATTGTTCATAGTATGTGCCCATCTTTATACTGTGTGAAGTTAAAACATCAACCAAAAAGTGTCAGTTCCCTCACTGTCAACACCACTTTTTAGTGCTTTTCAATCTCTGCCAACTTGTTAGGCATAAACTGGTAATTCATCTTTTAAATCACCATTTTCATGTGCATTTTTTAAGTTAATATATAATGAATTGAAAAGTTTCCTAATATGCTTGGCCTCAGATTTGATCTTGGCTATTTGAACTATGAAACAGTAACCAGGATTTGAGTTGCCACCCAGGGGCACTTAGCTTATTACCAAACACAATACCCTCAAGAATAACTTGCAAACTGAATTACATTGGCAAGAGTTACTTCTAGGCCAGTGTCATATGGGGGGGGGGGGGAGCTAATGCTGGATTGCCAAATGGGACTGATTTAACAGGTCCTGAGAAAGGGCTCTTCCTTCACAAGAAAAGTGTCCTCTCCCACTTACCAGGATGCTCAGAATTCCAAGCATTAGTATTTTCTTCCTTTGTGTTGAAACAATTAGATCTCCACCAATTCCATTTTAGAATTCAAGTATTTTACTTCAGAATGGGCTCTACAAAATTATGGTGATTATATCCATAGGATGGAATGCAATGAAGCCATTTAAAAAGAACTATGGAATTCTACATTTGCTGACATGGAAAGATCTCCATGATATATGACTTGTTCATTGCAAAAAAAGAAAAGTATGTATGTGTCTATATAATAGAAAATGTGTGGAAGGATATTTACTAAAATATTAAAAGTGGCTATCTCCAGTTAAAGGACATATGGGAGTTTTTTTACTCTTTATATATGTCTTTATTGTTTACTTTTGCCATGGATATATTAAAAATTTCCTTACTAACAATAACAATACAAGAAGGCTATTTGCATTTTGATAAAAATAAAATTGAAAGTATCCCAGAAAACCACTAAGCCATTATCACCTTATTAAAATTTAATTTACCAAGATTTTCAAGTCAAGGTTGAAGTCCCTTAAGGAATAAGACCCAGGTCCAGCATATTTTAAAGGGCATAGGAGAAAACAGTTAAAGGCAGACAGACTAGGCAGAAGTCTCCAGCCATGTATTAATCAGCTGAGGGACAGATCTGTGTTGTCCTGGGAGGATTTCACTGGAGAAAAATCAACAGGCAACGGAAGGCAACAGTGGTCTTCAGATCCACAGTCTGTATTGACTCAGAGTGGATCTTAGCTTTACCACAATTCCTGCTTTCAATATTATAGAAGAAAATACCCCCTAACCAATGATGTTCAATTCTCCCCCTAGAGGAGGCCCAGGATCCAATGCCAGTCATTTTTTTCAAATATATATTTAACAGATTTAAATTGCTTCATTTATACTTCACAAAGACTGGAAAGGAGAATATGATACAGTAAACCACTTACCTCTGTGGGAAGACATGTCTGTACATGGGCAGATGTTCCCAGATGTGACACCACTGTCCCAGGTTTAATTTGAAAATATGTTTTGCACATGTAGCCTTCAGAACAATCCTGTGTTCCACATGAAGAATACATAAGAAAATGCCAATTATTTTTAGAATTCATCATATTAAGAACTACGGTTTCTCATAAATTTCAAACTGAGTAATAAAAAACTAAGTATATTAAATGACATGAGGTATAATATGGATAAAGGAACTCATCTGATAAACCCTGCACATAGTAGGTACTCATTGAATAGCAGTTTTAATCCCCTACCTTTCTTACTTATTAATGGTGTTTCCCCTTCTCTTAGGTATCCCCCCTCCTTTTTCTTCCAAGCAGTTCATAGCACGTAAGTCATGGAGCAAAACCTCAGGTTTGCAGCTGTTAAGAAGCATTTAAACTGGGGCGCCTGGGTGGCTCAGATGGTTAAGCGTCTGCCTTTGGCTCAGGTCATGATCCCAGGGTCCTGGGATCGAGTCCTGCATCGGACTCCCTGCTCAGCAGGGGGCCTGCTTCTCCCCTCCCTCTGCTTCTCCCCCTGCTCATATTCTCTCTCTCTCTGTATCTCTGTGTCTCGAATGAATAAATAAAAAAACCTTTAAAAAAAAAAAAAGCATTTAAACTTATAGAAATACTTTGTCACATATTAATATTGATTTCATGGCCTATATAGAAAGAGAGATTTAAAGAGGACTTGCAACAGATCTTGAAGCTAAAAGGGACCTTCCATTTTAATTTCTTGTTCAAAGCAAGATCTCCATTACAACATCACACGGAGGTAACTGTGCAGCACCTGCCTAAGCACTTCCAGGAACCTTTGCTTTACCCCTTTATATGACCACCACCTCCATTTTGGTACATGGTACATAGTTCAATGAGAAAATATTATTTTATATTGCACTGAAATGTTTCTCTTTAACCTTAACTCACTGGTTTTAGTTCTGCCCTCCAGAGTCTAAACTCTTTTCCACAAAGCCATTTTTCATAGATTTGAAGACAATTAGCACCATTTTCAAATGTTCCATAGAAGATATGGTTTCCGAGCCTTTCACCAGTTGTATTTCTCACTTCTTTCCTATACTTGCTCTTAAATACACTTATGTTTATCTAATTGTGGTCAGTTCCATTTTTTAAAAAGCAAAACTTGGTTGAATTCAATAAAGTCATATATAAAAATATAATACTTCCTCATACACATACTCACATATTAATGAATATTATTAATTCTCCACAAAATTGTCACTGTTAACACTCAAATTTTAACAGAATTTAAACAGTTATAACTAAGGAAATGTGATTATTTAATCTGATGCAGTAACAAAAGTACAGAATAGCATTCCAACTAAAACCATTCATAACTCACTTAAATAATTTTACTAAGATTCAAAAATTCAGTTTTTAACTACACAATAAGAAAAGAAAAATTTTATAGTGTTTGTGAGTGATTTAATATTGAATTTATTTTTTTTAATTCGTGTCATGCCAGGGCACCTGGGTGGCACAGTAGGTTAAGCGTCTGACTCCTGGTTTCGGCTCAGGTCATGATCTCGGGGGTGGTGAGACCAAGCCCTGTGTCAGGCTCTGTGCTTAGCATGGAATCTGCTTAAGACTCTCTCTCCCTCTCCCTCAGCCCCTCCCTCCTGCTCACTCTTTCTCTAAAATTAATAAATAAATCTTTAAAAAAATTGTGTCATGCCAACTATGTAAGAGCATTGGATTTTAGGTAAGTGTACTGGGTTGAATAATGTCCCTTCACAACTCATGTCCCCCTGGAACCTGTGAATGTGACCTTATTTGGGAAATAGGGTCTATGCAAATGTAATAAAGTGAAGATGAGGTCATACTGGGATAGGGTAGACCCTGAATCCAATATGAGTAATTTCCTTTTAAGAGGAAAATCTGGCTACAGAGACACAAACACACAAGGGAGAAGGCCAGGGGAAGATAGAGGCACAGACTGAAGTGGTGCATCTATAAGACAAAGAATGCCAACAATGGCCACCAACCACCAGAAGCTAGAAGAGGCAAAGAAAAGTTCTTCTCTAGAGCCTTTAGAGGGAGCATGGCCCCGTAGACACCTTGATTTTCAACTCCCAACCTCCAGAACTGGAAGAGAATAAATTTGTTTTAAGTCATTCAGTTCATGGCACTTTCTTATGGTAGCTCTAGGAAACTAATACAGGAACTACATTTTCTAAGAACTCTGGCGGCACCTTTACAATGCCTCCCAGTTAACTGGGCTGACATCCCACCAGCACTCACCAAAGAACCCTGCTGGTTGGTCCTGATCAGTACCAGTTCCACTGGCTGGACCCAACTTATTCTGATTGGTTGATGCCCCTGCCACAGATTGTTAAATATTTAAATACCCTTCCTCCCTGTAACGTAAGCTATCAGGTAACCAATACTATCACCTTTAAAAGTATTTTACTTTGGGCGCCTGGGTGGCTCAGCCGTTAAGTGTCTGCCTTCAGCTCAGGTCATGATCCCAGGGTCCTGGGATGGAGCCCTGCATCAGGCTCCCTGCTCCGCGGGAAGCCTGCTTCTCCCCTCTCCCACTCCCCCTGCTTGTGTTCCCTCTCTCACTATGTCTCTCTCTGTCAAATAAATAAAATCTTTAAAAAAAAATAAAAGTATCTTATTTTATTTATTTATTTGAGAGAGAGAGCACAAGAGCTTGAGCAGGAGGAGGGGCAGAGGGGGAGGGAGAGAATCTCAAGCAGACTCTGTGCCAGAGTGGAACCCATGGGAGTTTCAGTCTCACAACATCCAGAACATGACCCAAGCAGAAACCAAGAGTCCCACGCTCAACTGACGGAGCCACCCAGGCACCCCAATATGATACATTTTGTAGATGGAATTATTGTTTTAAATTCTAGCTCTGCATCATCCAAATGCAAAGCATACCTGAGGGCCTTCAACCACTGAAATCTTTGTATCTAGACAACATAAATGACTTTTAATATCGGCTTAAACTGAGAAAGATATATGTAGGGATTGTAGTTGTTGCTGTTGCTTTTTACACCGGGTATCTATTTCCGCTTCTTCTTAAACAGTAGCTAATTTTCTTCTAAGGAATCATTCCCTTCCCCCTATCAGTGTGGACATGGCCCCCTACTACAGGAATGATCACAATACTCTGAACTGGCCAGTAAGAGCATCAGTCCTGTTGGCCTCAGAGACTCAGGACGGTAAAAAAAATCTACTCAGGGCCAATGAAACACAGTTCAGGACTTGGATTAGGGGATAGGGGAGGATATTCTCTTTTCTACTGGATTTGAACCAGGAAGATAAAGCCTTGGCAGTTTTGGCAGCCATCATGTAATCAAATGGAGCCTGAGAATGAAGCCAGTGCAGAAAGCAGTGCATGAGATGCAGAAAGACCAGATCTTGATGACACTGTTCACACCAACCATACCTAAAGCTAGTTCCACGCTCAAATTTTTCAGTTACATGGCCCCAAAAAGTCCTTTCTTGACTTCACCCAATTTGGATTGGGTTTTCTGTCACTTGCAACTAAAATAATCTTTCTATAAAATGACCTATGTTATGTTATTAGTTTAAAACTAGATGAGATTTTCCTACTGTTAAGAATGAGCCTCCTATGACCACAGAAAGAGTCTCTTAAACAATAAAATAGTTTGACTCGAATGAATAAACAAACTACATGATTTCTACTGTATTATATGATTACTTTCATTATAATAATCAGTAGCTGATTATATAGAAGATTTGCCAAATATAGTAAAGCCATAAAGGTAGGTGATTGTGAGACAAAAAGTAAAAACAGTCTGCAATTTAAAAATAATCTAGCTATAGAGGAAAAAAAACCTCAAGATATTCAGAGAAGAGTTAGAACTAAACTGTGTACTGAATCTGATTCATCAAATTAGAGCAACTATTCTATTTCATGAGCACTGATCATACAACTTCTTAAGGCAAACTATAATTTAGTAAAACCCTAATTACAAGGCAAAATACACTTCCTTTGACATCAAGAGGTTAAGTCCAAAATTCCTATGCACCTATGTTATAAAATCTAAATGTATTATCTGATCTCTTTTCCAATGAATTAAGATAGAGAAATATGTCATTTTTAATATTACTTATAATTTAAGGGATTTTATTTCTATTTTAGGTAATTTCTGATGCTACTTATTAGTGTCTATAGGGAAATGCACAAGGGTTTTTGACTCAGCCTCTATCTGGTCACAGTAATTTTCTTTTTGGTATCAATCTCTCAACAGTCAAAATTAGCCTTGAAAAATTAAAAATAGAAAAAAAAACAGTTTATAGCAACTTAGCTTCCTTTCAAACATTTACTTCCATGAAAGTAGGCCTTTCTCCTACACTGTTTTAATTTAAGGCAGAAAAATATGTTTTGTTCTTCACTGTTTTGAAGGTTGTTTTTGTAGAAACAAGCAAACATAAAAGCATGAGAACTGCCCCCTGAACTAGCACTACAGTCCATCTGGCCCAATAAATGATAATTGACTCAAATCTCGACTGACTTTTCTGGTAGACACTCAACTCTAGCTTCCCTGCATTCTTTCTGTACTTATGATAGCTTACAATTCAACGTTGTTTTCTTTCATTTTGGGGGGCGCCTGGGTGGCTCAGTCGGTTAAGTGTCTGCCTTCAGCTTAGGTCCTGATCGGGATCGAGCCCCATGTCAGGCTGCCCGCTCAGTGGGGAGTCTGCTTTTCTCTCTCCCTCTGTCCCTCCCCCCACTTGTGCTCTCTCCCTCTCTCTCAAATAAATAAAATCTTTAAAAAAAAAAAGTTTTCTTTAATTTTTTAACATGTGTTAGTTTTATTTCCCCCAATCAATCCAAAGTTAGGGCCTAGGCCCCAGGCTCTGGGGAAGAAAGGGTCCTAACTACAGAGTCTAGTTCCACATAAAAACCTGGTCCCTGGTCCCTAGTCCCTGAAAACACCCTGGACCATAACAGGAGAGGTAGGAACAAAGGGAACCTTGCAATTTATCCAGTTCAACCCTCTAGTTTTAGAGATAAGAGGGTGAAGGACTGAAGTACTTTTTTTTTTTTGCTTAAATAATTTTAATTT